TTGTTCAATAGGAGACCCCGTTAACAGGGCCAACGCTTCTACCCGCAAACTAGAAGTGTCTCCAAAGTAAGCTGAGAAAGCCAATAATGGAGTTCCCGATGAATCACGTAGTATTCCCCCACTACCACTCAATCCTGAATTGCCCTTGGAGCATCCATCCGTATTCAATGTTAACATTCCAGCCTCCTTCGCCCTCCACCCCCCAGTTGAAAAGTATAACGAGTTGGCGGTTGAGCTGTCCACTCGTTTAATTGAGGAAACATTTGCACCGCAAGCCTCTAGCTAAACTGAAATTCTACTACCGCTTTCACATCTAGCAAACTGTCATGACAAATTCTCGCAACTCGCATCTGAGTCCCTTCATAGTATGCTTTATTCCGAGCCTTCCAGATATGTTAGCATATAAAACTTGGGAGAACTGAGTAAAGGAACCGTCTTTTCTCAGACCTAGATGAAGACATCCACCAAACCATTATCCATGTCCGTAGTAATGAGCTTGTTACCCCACACATCCTACCAAAATAATTCCAGACTCCCTTCGTAACCTGGCCATCCAAGAAAACATGCTCCAATATCTCATTTGATCCCTCTTGGCAGCACAAGCATTTTGATGCCAATTGGACTCCCACCCTCCACAAAATATTTGCTAATGACAATTTATTCAATAACAATTTCAGCATGAAGAAAGATATTTTCAATGGATTCCGAGAATGCCATACCTAAAAATGAATCACAGAGTAATTATGAGCTTGACGAACCTCCTGAAAGGCCGATGATAACTTGAACCTTCCCGATGCTGTTTGCCTCCATATAAGTTCATTGCGGCAATCTCCCTCCGGAACCGGATGCTGTAATATTGGATGGATAAACTCTTGCAATATATATTGGCTGAGCAAGTTAATGTTCTAGTCCCCATTTGATATGAATCCCTTGAAAGTTAGGGCTGGATACACCATAGTTTTAAGATATAGAGCACCATTGCCCAACCAATTGTCATACCAAAAGTTGCAAGAACCCACATTATCCAACCATACCATAGATAGTTCCACCTGTTGGCTTATGTTTAACATTCTTTTCGACGTCAGCGAGTCATACCGCCTCAATTCCACCTGACAAGGATGAAGTCCCCTGCAGTATTTTGCTCGCATAAATTCTGCTCAAACTGAAGTTCCTGTCCGAAAATTCCACCACAATTTGCAGGAGAAGGCCGAATATATATCACTGAGCTTCCTAAAACCCACTCCCCCCTCCACCGGAAAGCATAACTGAGACCATCTGATCAGTGAAATTTCATCCCATCGCCTGATGAACCCCATAAAAAATTCGCGCAAACCTGCTCTATTCTTTTAAACACCGAGGTGGGACACATGGCAGCTGATAGTACCCAAGAAAATCAATCTTGACTTCCAAGGCATAATTCTAGCCAGCACAGCTTGATACATCTCTCCAAAGTACACTGATTTACGTTTGCCTGTGTACATAGGAAAACCAAGATAGCGATTGGAAACTCCTGTCTAGTAAAGTGTGTAATCCACTCAACCACCATTCTCCGAGCTGTTAGTAGGGCCTTATGGACCAAGTAGCCACTCTTTTGTGTATTTACTAGTTGTCCTGAGGATTGTTGGTAAGCATCGAGCACCTGCACAATTCTCTTTAAAGCAGCAGCAGACCCATTAGTAAAAATCAGCACATCATCAGCAAATGCTAGATGCGTGATGACAACATAGCCTGTTGGGACTCTAAACCCTACAAAATTGTGCTGCATTGGTAGATTATTTAGTTCTCGCGAGAGCAATTCTGATCCGATAATAAATAGCACTGGGGATAATGGATCTCCTTGACGTAGCCCCTGGTAAGATTTGAAGTAGCTGTGTGATGTTCCATTAATGATAATTGAAAACCAAACATTAGAGATAAGCTTCCAGACCATGTCTATAAATCGCTCTCCAAACCCAAATTTGCGCAACATGGTAATAATATGCCTCCATGACATCCGGTCATATGCCTTAATCATATCTAGTTTTAAAGTTACATTCCATCCTCTTGCCTTCTTGCCTATATCTGAAATCAACTCCTAAGCTAACAAATAATTATCCGTAATATTTCGGCCTTTGACAAATCCTGTTTGTTAGGGAGAAATAATTCTTGGCAAAATCGAGGCCATACATTCCACCAAAATTCTGGATAATAATTTGTTAAAAAAATTACAAAGACTAATTGGTCTGAATTTAGAGAAATCCTGGGGATTGGGAATTTTAGGTATCAAAACAATTGAAGTGGAAGTAATGAATCTAGGCAGATCACTTCCACAGAAAAAACTCATAACTGCTCTATGCATGTCTTGAGCAATGATATCCCAAGCAAAGGTAAAGAATTTACCTGTAAAACCGTCCGAACCAGCAACACTCTCCCCATCCATGGTGAACACCATACGCCGAACATCCTCCATAACTAGAACTTCTTCCAACCGTGTATTTTCCTCTCCTATGACCATTGTCGGTATTAAGTGCACCAGCTCCCCTAGACTGTAATCCATAGATCCCAAGAAAAGACCAGAAAAATACTCAATTGCCTCGTTTGCTATGTCATCATCCTTCTCCACCCACATCCCATTTGAATTTTTCACCCTATGTATTGCCCCTTGTACTCACCTTTGCTTGACTACTGCATGAAAATACTTTGTATTCCGATCCCCATTATTAAGTCATTTTACTCTAACTTTCTGTCTCCAGAATTGTTCTTCTATTGCCAATGCTCTATTAAGCTCTGCTTGTGCCTTGTAAAGCTCTTCGTGATCATCCTCGGATTCGTAATGTTCCACGTCTTCCTCTGCCCTCAAAAGAGCAGCTTCAGCCTCCCTAATAGCATTAAAAACATTTCCAAAATGCTGCTTATTCCATTGTTGAATTGCTCTCTGGGTTGCCAACAACTTAGAGCAGAAAACTCATAAGGGTGATCCTTGTATCTCTATGGTCCAGGAATCCCTAATGACATCTAATAGACATGGCTTGGACGTCCAAACATTCAAGAACCTGAATGATCGTGGCCCATTGTTCGGCCTTGAATTAAAAGAAATTTTCACTGGGGCATGATCAGATGGGTGTCTTGCTAAATGAACTACTGAAATAACCGAGGCCAAATCTGAACATTCTCCATTAATTAAGATTCTATCAAGCCTCTTCCAAATTCTAGCCCTTCCCCTCGTATTATTGTACCATGTAAAACTCGATCCTGAAAAACCAGCATCAAATACCTCAGCCTCTTCCATGAATGTCAAAAACTCAAACCCTTCTGACACAGAAAATGGTCTCCCACCTCGTTTTTTGTGGGCATTTACAATGACGTTAAAATCTCCCCCAATACACCAAGGCAAGGAATGAGGTTTATCAGATAATAAATTCTGCCATAAATCGCGACGTCCCTCCACCGAACACATAGCATGAACAAATGAAAAAATCATAGGCCCCGGTAACCACGGATGTTGGATAGACAGTGAAATATGCTGAGTAGAGTTACCAACTACCGAACAATTAAATGGAGCACTATAGAATATCCAAAGATCCTCCGATATGTTAACAATTGCATAATCAAATGATAATCTCATGCAAATATACTCAACTCGAGACACATCTATTTTTGGTTCAGAAATTGCTAAAAATTGAACACCATGCAATCGTATAATTTTTATCAGTCTTCTTAAATTTGGCGCTTTAGACACCCCTCTAATATTTTATATCAGTGTATTAATCATAACGCAATACCTGGAATGAGTTGTTGATAGAAGTTATGGATCAAAACTGTCTATCAGATTGAAATCGAGCCCGTAGTTCCTTTTCTTCTTGCCTTCCTATCACTCCTTTCATTTTCATCGAAGGAATCGATGTTTAACCTGTGTTTTCAGACTCGGACCGGACCGCCCAGTTCGACCGATCGAACCGGGAACCGGCCAAGTGTCCGGTCCGAGCCATGCTTCAAAACCGGGTAAGTAAAAACCCGGTAAAATCTGGTCAAAAACCGTGTTTGACCGGGAAAAACCGGATTTTCCGGTTCAAACAGTTTTTTCAAAAAAAAAAATCAAACTTTTTCAATATTATGTTTTGACCCCTAAATTGTTAAAAATTATTAATATACCTCAAATATTTCATACTTTTTGAATATTTTCTTAAAGTCTCGTATTATTTTTCAATTAAGTCCATAATTTTAATTCTAAACTTGTTAATGCTCATTAAATAATATAAATTGTTACTTGATTGTTCTAATTTCTTTGTATTTTCTTGTTAAATATATTTAAAACATCAAATATATATGAATATACCTTTATTAATATAAACATATTATTAGATATTTTACATATAATATTTTAATTTTTAAATAAATTTTATTTATGACGTCATCCGGTTCAACCCCTGTCGAACCCGGTTCAACCCATTAACCCCTGACCCCTGAGTTTGACCGAGTCGATATCCGGTCCGGTTCTGAAAACCTAGTGTTAAACTGCATAAGTGTATTATTTAGAGTCGGCTCCCGCGTGATCACCAGTCTTGGCGACAAATTACCAGCCACCTGGGGCAATTCAACCTCTCTGTCCTTGTCACTGGCATCACTATCCTCCTTGTTCAATACCTCTGCCATTGCACCGTGCAAATCTTTGTTCATGTCTTCCCCAACCAGCTCCACATGCAAGTTGATGCTGGCTGGTTGGCTTGATTCCCATCTACTGAAAGAATTTTCCCATGAAAGGTTCCGTTTTGTCCCTCCGCTGGCTGCTGAAGTGAATAATGTTGTTCCTGTGAAGCTGAAACAGCAGCCTCCTTATTCTTTTCGTGGTCTGCAAATTCAGGTTCACCTTCATATCCATGCTCAGCCACACCTGCTAGTTTCCCCTCCTCCATACTTATTTTGTCACCCCGACTTGCTTCCCCCGCAACAGTAAGTACCGCAGTATTAGTTACAATTCCAGTCTCTGCAGTAACTTTCGGTTCCTCTCGCGCCTTCCAATCTCATCTCATACCATGGGTCACATGCTGCTCTGAAGAGTTCTTCCTGCACTCGTCCACAGAACATCCCAATCTCCAACAAGCAGAGCAATAACATGGCATTTCTTCAGGTACAATTTTCTGCCAAAATCTCATCTCTCCCTCTACTGATATCCACACCCTGGTGCAGATAGGTTTAAGCAGGTCCACTTCCACACAAACTCGTGCTTTATTCGATCGCGAAGCAGCCGCCGTTGCCGAGTCTAGGAACAAAGGCTTTCCCACCAGCGAAGTAATTGAAAACAACGAGTGTTTGTCAAAATAGTGTATTGGTAGTGATGGTAATGAAACCCAAACGGGAGCTAGAGAAGACTCCTTGTGGCCGTGAAAGTCTCTCGTCCAGCGGAAAACACGCATAGGGAACTTCCCCAATTGCCATATACCTCGCATCCAAATTCTATTGAAATCCACTTCTGATGCACATTTTAGCAGTACATGACGATAATCTAACAACCCAACAGAAATTTGGTCTTTTAGATTCAGCGAAGTAAAAATCTTTCGAATTTCCTCCAATGAAGGCCTTCCGTGCGAGAATTTTCCTACTAGTACCCATCGATATGGTGCTGCCAGTTTTTCTGCATCTTGTTTGGAGAAGATTACCGCAGCTTCTCCTTTGTAAGTTGTCACTGGCCTCACATGGATGGGAAATGGAGTAGGTTCAGTGAACAATTGGGAGAAGGATTTTTGTTCTGACAGTGACATCCCTTGCCCCTCAGCCGAAGGGTGAGGGGCAACCATGGCTCGCAGAGACCTCGAGAAAGCTTAATTTGTTGGCTGAACTGCTTCTTTAATTCGGTTCGTTATTTAGGCATTTTCTCAAGCGTATGGCAAGCATGAAATAAACCTTACTTAAACAAATTTATTTGAAGAATCTCTTGACTATCCCAGGAATTTCCAGCACCAGAACATAGAGCCCCCAATGATTTTCAATATCAATATAGACCTTGACCAGCACAAATTGTCAAAAGAATTAAAGATGCGAAGTTACCCGCAATTAGTCTTGGACTTTGGAAACCACCAATTGCTGCCGAGCATTCAGATTCAATTGCAATCAAAAGATAGTTCGAATTAAAATAATCAAGTGATGATTTGAAGTGATGAATCTAAATGCTGCCGAAAAGAATTGCTGCAATGTGACGTATAGAGCAAAATCCGCAAAGTCCACCCGACACGTTCTTGTCACTATGAGAGAAGGTTGAATATGAGAAGAATCTTCAGGCTTAAAACAAGAGACCTATGTTTTCAAAACCGGACCGGATATCGATTCGGTCAAACTCAGGTCAAGGGTTAATGGGTTCAACCGAATTCTATAGGGATTGAATCGGATGACGTCATAAATAAAATTTATTTAAAAATTAAAATATTATATGTAAAATGTGTGACGGCCCCACCTCCCCCTAAAGCGAACCAGAGGGTTCGGCGGGCCGCCTGCCCAACTCTCGCCGGGACTCAGTCGATCACTACAATCCTCAAATGAATTACAATATAAATCTCAAATATACATCACATGGTCCACAAACATACATCCAAGTCTCCAATAATTACATGTCACAAATGCAGCGGAAACTGATTCCAATTCTGGAATGGTAGTACTTGTTCACGTGACTGGATGGCATATATCTTATATAATTTGGGTTTGGAATCATTTTATGTATAGTTGAGAATCGTTTCCGCTTTGCTTATAACATGTAATTATTGGAGAATTTGATGTAATTTTTGAGATTTATATTGTAATTCATTTGACGATGGTAGTGAACGACTGAGTCCCGGCGAGAGTTGGGCAGGCAACCCGCCGAACCCTCTGGTTCGCCTTAGGGGAGGTGGGGCCGTCACAGAATTGGTGTTAGCACAAAACATGAAAGTTGTAGAGAATGATGTTTTCTAGTTGCTTGTAAACTTTCAGCCCAATCCGAGCTGGGTAGCCTGAAATACCCAGACTGGTCTAGGTAGGAGTTCAGTGAACAGGGTTATCTTTTTACCCAATCTGATCGTGACTTTTCACAATGATTCTTACAGAATTAGATTTTGGTCAAAACATGAAAGTTGTAGCCAAGGGTATAAACTGGTTGCCTGAAAATTTCAGCTTGATCCGACCACTGTAGCATGTGAAATGACCGAAATACCCTTGACTGTCCATGAAACCCGGCCAGATTTCTGTTTTCATGGAAATTTCCATTTTTGACCATGAAAATGCATGATTTGGCTTTGGAGGTCTTCATAAGCAATGTAGGTATATGTCTTGGCTTCGAAACGCCATAAGATTCGCTTCAATCTGATTAGTGTAGCTTCAGTTATGGTTATTGTGCCGAAAGGTGTATTTGATAGTTTATGATGTGTATGTGGTTGATTTGAGATGAATTGGTGTTGATTGTAGGATGGAAAAGTAAGGAAATTAAGGGGATATGTTGTCCGATCTTTGAAAGCATTTGATTGCTTTGAGTTTGAGTTGAAGGGCTTGGACTTGAGCAAGGCAATGATATATGATGGTTGGTTCCTGAGCCGTGGAGGTGAGTGACCCTAAACTGTTTCCAAAGTTACTTTTGAACTGTTTTCTTGCATTATTTACTCGATTGCATATCATGCGTGCTTGCATGTGAGTGTTCCTTGTTTGCTATATTTTCTTGACTTCATGAATTGTATTATCGCTTGACTTCCCAATTGACAGCAGTTGAAAATGTCCAGGGCCACAGTACAGTTAAAGAGAAATTCAGGGACTGATGTGCAAAATCATTTTCTGGTTTCTTAATGGACTAGGCCATGGGGCCATTTTATTAATTTCTTGGGCCAAAACTCCTCTTAGCCCAATCGAAGTCCAAGCAAAACAAACGGGCTAGCCTATCTTAAGTCCAAGCAAGATCCAACTAAAAAATATGTGCGCTTTATCCCCTAGCCCATGCCAACAACCCAGAAAAATAAGTCATTAATTCCTTTGTCAAACCCAAACAACAAATTCAAACCAAAACCTTTGAATTGTAACCTTCCTAAGCCCAACAAGAAACCCAACAAATATTATTACCCAAAAACCCAAACTATACTAAACCCAACAAGATTAGCAAATCAATTAAAATTAGCAAGTCATCATTATGATCTAAAAACAAGAATTAATCTAGCTAAGAGACTACTTATGCATATTAGAAGATGATTAAAATCTAAAAGGGAGAAACAAGTTTACTTTTTCCAATTTTTCGGGCCATATCAGAACAAGGGGGGACTTGAGGGGTTCCAATGCAATGCAAATAAGGACCCAATTGAATGGATTATGAAGGTCTTGGGGTCGGATTATGAAGTTTTGAGACTTCTTTGGGGTTGAATTACAAAGAAATGGGAAATGGGGGGGACTGAAATTGTGAATCAGAAAAATAATCATCTTCTTCCAAAATGATTTCAACATCACCGCCACTCCTGTCCTCTTCACAGACGGAAAACAATAGCAGAATTCGGTTACCACTTTCAAATGAAACACGGACAAACTCCCTCTCACACAAACTCATGTCATCAATTCGAATCCATAAGAGCATCAAACAAAAGAAAAACAGAACAGATGTCAAACAAACGAACGCCAAGCAGACCCATCCGAATCAATCATTTTGGCAACATGTGCCGGCCGAACGCGTGCAAGAATTAGAAATCAATTTGTCCCTTCAAACCGAACTCTCGGTTGGGCATTTTATCAGACAGGTCAGGGGCATTAAAATTTAACTAGATGTTTTGCTCAAATCGAAATCATAACTAGCCCAAAATGCTATCAGCAACCCAAGAGATACATTCCAATCAACATACAGAACACGTAGATTCCAAAGGGTCATGAACAAACGACAGAAAAATTGAGACACCAACATCACCGCAAACATATTTTGACGGAAGACTGAAATGTAAATGAATAAGTTACCTCACGGTGGCCTCCAACGGTGACTCCCCTGATACAGTTGGCTTTTACTTCAGGGGTGGCAGCTGCTGATGCCGCGGCTTTGGATGCTGGAAACGGCTTCTTCTTTACCGGTGCAGTTGCAGGCTGGGACCGAGAGAGTGGAAGCTTGTAAAGAGCCTTGACTTTCACGAACTTTTCGGACGCCATAATCTTCTTCAATTGAACCGGCGGCAGCCTCTTGAAGTTATAAGGAAGATTTTTCCGCTTATCTTCGATGAACTTAGCGACGGCATACTGGCTAGAAACTGTTTTTCCCTTCATCGCAGCAATCGCATCCTGGTTCATCTCAAAGTAAGAAGGATGAGTCGGAGCGTCGTGCTTCCCTGGAGCAGAGACTTCTTAGCCTTGGGGCTCTTTGGCCTTCTTGGGATTTTGCGGCCTTTGGGGCAGGATTCTCCTCTTGCGCGGCCGGCCTCCACCTTCACGGCTGCGGTGGTTTCGATGGAAGTTGCGCGCGGTGGAGCAATGGCAGATGGCGTGAGAAAAAAAAAGAATTTGGGGTGGGCGGTGGTGCGTAAAAAAAAGAAAAGGAAGAAACAGGGGCAGCCTCTGCTTTCTTGTTTTTTTCCAGATAAAATTTTCCTCCTGCCTGAGCTTTTCTTCCACCTTGATCAACCCTTGTCCGCCGCTGTTCTATTGCTGTTTCTTGCTCTCATTCTCTGTTTTTCTCTCAGAATTTCCCCTCCAATTTCCAAGTTTTTCCCTCTGTTCTCAACTCTCTCGGCCCTCAACGAAGACCCTTCCTCCTCTTGAAACTCTCTCCCCAGTTCTCTTTTTCACAAGATCCGCCGCCAGCCCCTATTCTCTCTACTTCTCTTTTCTTTTTGCTATCCCTCTCCGTCACTCTGCTCTCTCTCTCCCTCCTTTTGCAGCCCCAAAACCTAGCTCCTATCTAGAATCATCTCCCCCCGTCCAGGTGTCCTAGGCACCTGGCCTTTGTAGCTAAATTTACCCCCCAAGGACTCCCTGCAATTTCTTCTTGCAAGCTGCGGCAACACACAGCTTTTGGCGTGCGTGACTCTTTTTTTTTTTTCATTTTCATCATTTTTCTTTTTCTCTTCTTTTACATGATTTTCTACGCTAAAACTTAAAAATAAAATAAAATAAAAACTAGAAACTAAAAAAAACTAAAAAGCAACCACGACAAATGAGAATAAAAAGTAAAAGAAATTACACCAAAAATTTGGTGTCTACACCCTTGTTACGATCGACTCGAGCCAGAAGCGGACTCGGTCAGGCGATATGGTGACCTGGGTGAACGTTTGGTATACTCGAGTATTACCTTGTAGGTTGGTGGAGGTTGGTGGAGCCTGGTCAATGTCCAGGAAAGGTTGAATGAACGAACGAACGAACGAGGGTTTTATTGATAAATGAAAAATGCATTTTCAAATAAATGAAGGAAAGGGGAATGACAGGAGAACGAACGAAGGAACGAATGAACGAACGAATGTATCCTTTTCATGTATGGTTTCTTGTAAATGTTGTAATTGTTTCTTGACTTATCGTTTGATTTATGACATCATTGAAATGAACTATTGTGAAACCGATTTGATTACTGATTTTACTGGTTACTCGCTGAGTTTTTAGCTCACCCCAAAAATATTGTGTTCCCCTCCACAGGACTCGTGGCGAAGGAAGGCTTGTAGTAATTATTCACGGGACTGGATGGCATATATCTTGTACAGTTTGGATTTGAAAATCATTTTATGTATAGTTGGGAATTGTTTCCGCTTCGCTTATGACATGTAATTATTGGAGAATTTGATGTAATATTTGAGATTTATATTGTAATCTATTTGAGAACTGTAGT